ATTCAATAATGGGGTCTCCTTAAATAGGAGATTACAAGAGTCCTAATCAAAGGGAGTCTCCTTGCTGAATAGGGAGACTTCCAGTTCTATCTTGCTATGGATAATATAAGTTAATCCTAATCTGATAAGCTACTAACAAGATAAGATAAACTAAGCTAGTCCTAATCTGATAAGCTATTAACAAGATAAGAACAATAAGATAAGAACAAGCAAAATGAGATAATCTAATCTAGATAAGGCTACTATTGCCAAACTGGGTAGGATGAGCATCACTGAATCCTTGCTATTGCTGGCAGTGGGCCCGGGGCCTGTTGCTGCCAGCGGCGATGGTACGTATTCCCAAGGAAGGAGTCCATAACATAACACCTATATAAAAACAAGCATAACCCATTAGGAATTTTCTCAACATTAAGTAAGTGATACTTACAATTCAACCATCTGACTAGAGCAGTTTGAGCCATAATGCCATCCAACGATCAACATAATAAAGTTTATGCATATGATAAAACTAAGACCCTTAGATGGGTTTCTCACTAATCCATGCAGCTACTCCTTTCCTCAGATATAGGGGTTATTCAAACTTTCCAAGTTATAAATAGCTTATGATTTTCTAATTGAAATTATTGATCAAAAAAAATTCTAATTGAAATTCAACCGGTACTATCCAAATTCACTTGGGTTTCTGATTGGTTAAAGTTTTTCAGGTATCATACCTTTCCACTATCATAGAAATTGCCTACAGAAATTCCATTCCCTTTCTAATGATGAATTTTTGGCAGTTAATTTCATAGGCGGGGACCCAACCATCTTTGACTCCCAGCCCTTGAAATATGGGAGGTAGCAAGTTATTGATGTCACAGACCAGGGCTATGCTCCAAACCCAAGGTTTTATCCTTAAGTTATCCAGCCAAACATATAAAAAGATAACTTATCTATCATAAAATGAGTAATATTGACCTCAGTTAACTTTTGAATAAATTAAACTCTTCTAAATTATTTATTATAAAATAAGTTATACCAGCCAAATTAGTCATTATATTATAAAACAAAGCATCTTCTATGCTTAGCAAGGGCCATTAGCTAGTAATAATATATATAGAGTGCGCCTTGGGTCCAGCTGTGACACCTCAGTGTGCCCTTAATTCACTTGCCTAAACAAGAATCCTACTACAAGTCTACACTAGTAGATTGCCTTAGTTAACTTCTGTTCATTTGCACCAATGGTGTAGCTGTGAATCAAAACCTAGTCACAAGAAACATTTCCCAAAATCCAATCTGTAGTAGGTGTAATAAGTCCCAGAGACTATTGGTCATGCTTTAGTCTCTTGTGAATTGCCAAGGTGTGTTTGTGTGGTGGACCTTTTAGTATCAAGGTAGATGGGTGGGGTGAAATAGCTGATTTATCATCTTGGTCTGATTTGTGGTTAAGAGAGTGGGGAAGCAGAACTATGAGAGCTTTGGTTTTAGTTTGCTTGTGGTCTATGGATGTTGTGGAAATCTCAAAACTCCTATGCTTCTTAGATGCCTGGCCCTGCTTTGATTTTCAATCTGATTAACAGGCTAGCAGCAGAGGCAGATGAGTAGAAAAGAAATCATATTGTTTCTTTTTGGAATTCACCAAATGTTGGAAGCTTCAAGGTAAACACCGATGGTGATTTTGTTAATAGTAACTTAGCTTCTTTTGGTATGGCGGTAGTAAGAGACCACGACGGAGCTTGTATCTCAGTGAAATTTGGACCTTGTAAAGCCTCTCCTAACTGCTGAAGCGTTAGCTGTGATGGAAGGTCTAAAGCTGACCCAATCCTTGAGAAATGAGAACCGTTGTTGTAGCCAGTGACAGCTTGCAGCAGATCCAATCTTTAAAAAATCTGCACATGCCTTGCGCTAAGGACACTATCTTTTTGAAACGTCATTAGAAAACTTTCTCAGAATCTGAGAATTATTTTTGAGTAAGAGAGTAAAAGTTCAAATCTGATTGCGCATAATTTGTCCAGTAGAGGTCTTTCTAGTAGTGGTTTTTTTCTTCGTTGATAGGACTCTAAAAACCAATATACTAATTACTAATCACTAATCACTTTTCACAAACGAACTTAAACAAATAAATGTTGAACCACCAACTCTCCAAAGCAACGAAGACAACCACGATCAGGTAAGCTTCTCCAAATTTGGTACTTCAGCTTGAATCTGATCAGACTACATCCTTAACAAGATTGAAGATTTCGTGGGGCTAAATATTCAATTAAGTTAGGTCTTAGAATTAACTTCATTTTCTTCAAGATTTGAACTCAAATGACCAACCCGAAAGAAAAAAAAAAAAAAAAAAAACATTAAAGTAGAAAACCTAATGCACCGGAAAATCAATAAGAAACTAAGAAACACCACCAAGAGGCGAAAACTACGCACCAGAAATAGGGCAAAACTGAGGTTACGTTTCAGTTGACAAGAACTGAGAGAGAGTGAGAGAGAGAGAGAGATCGCGCGCGTTTTTAAGTTTAGAATTGGACATGGCATTCTCATTATATAGGGGAGCGAGAGGGGGCGTAAGAAGAGTCCCACATCGTTTGAGAATGGGAAAGAGAGGAAAGGGAGATGGTTATAAGTACGAGATGAGAGGTAAAGATTAAATTAACTCGTCCTGTCGGGGGTGCGAGGCGACTCGTCAATGATCGTTTAGAGACGGCGGGTCGTGCCGACACCTACGAATTCGAACACATATTTAAGGCGAGCGAGTCGCGCCCTACTTTCGGTGTTCTCGCCCGCCAATTTTTGGAAAACTCCCCAACCTTCCGGGGGGTTTTACCACCATGATCTTCTCTTTTTTATTTAAAAAGAAAAATGATCTCTACTTTCAAGTTATATCATTATATTTGGGCCTTAAGGTGATTAGTTTAGTAATCCTTTTATTTTTGTTATCAAGTCTCTATGACTTTACTGCATAATGCAACTAAATACAAACCCCATTGCTATGGTTTGAAGAAATTGGTTCTCACTTCTTGTATGTTGAAACACCACTAAAATCTTGAATAGTCTGTAGTTGCATGCCAATCGCAAGAGATAATATATGTCCAGTAATTATAATGGAGTTGAAGAATTTGTACTCTAATCTTTTTTGCAAAATTGAACTACTTTTGTAAGGGTATAGCCGTCTGGAATTAACTTGTGCTCAATTAAGGTAGAATAATGTCCAGAATTAAAGAAGCAATCTCTCTCTGTCGACAACTTACCATCCTCTCTCAAAGATACCCAGAGAGAACATGGCAGGGTGCATTGGAATGTGATGATACAAATGAGTCTAGATGTATTAACAGCTTACTCATCCAAAGCACTAATAAACAGAACATTGTGGCAGATTTTGAAGCTCACAACCACATAGACTTCTTGCAATTTACATTCCTTTGCTGATTCTTTTGCCATGTGAAATATGAACTGGAAGTAACCAGACATTCAAGGACTTAGGTCTTACACTATGTGAATGTGACCATGCTTAATAGGATGTCTCACCTGAGATTTTGATGCCAAATTAAAATGTGGTCAAGTTTAACCCTCGACCCAGAACTCAATGTCCAGATGTTGGAGCAGCCCTATTAGTCTATTTAGTTGATCAAGTTTCTAATAGTGCCTTGCACCAAATAAAAAAGTTTTAATAGTGCAACTGTGAGTACACTTTCATGTTGACGAACCTGGTTATTCTCCTTCTGGACCTCAGGCTTTGTTCTGTGAAAAAAAGAGCATCTTTATTTTATTTTATTTTTTTCTAGAGCATTTGCCAAAGAGAAAGAATCAACTGCATGCACCACTACCACTTATAAATTGTACAAAAATATGTATACAAAAAAGAACCGTCTTTATTTCTCCTTTACATTATACAGGCACTGTTTTCTTCATCATTTTCTAATTCACTGATTAATTGTTCCATCATCTTCTTATACATAGGCATATAATGGTCATTTATCATAGTTTTTGAGAGACGGAGTTTACTATACAGGTCTCGAGGAGTCTCATAAATACCAACACGTTCCTTGTTGGAACCACCATTGCCAGAATCAGTTGTGTCAGGTGGTATGGCAACAATATGCATGATTCTACCAGGTGGATAGAAGCGCTGGGTTTCTGAAGCATCCAATGATGTGGTAGGCCTCTTTTTTTCTACTGCATCAGCCAACACCTCCTCTTCTGCAATTTCTTTTGCAGCTGCAGCTTCTTCTTCCTGGACCTGAACATTGGCTTCAATTTCCTGCCTATGAAGTTCCTTCTCTAGCTCATACCACAACTCCCCTTCTGTCATCTCCTCAACTGTGGATGTACTAATTACACCCTCCACAGGACAGAGCTCCTCATCTTCCTCTGTCTCATCATGCTCAGGTTGTTGCCCCCTTGAGCAACGAAAATCCAGTTCATCTATTACTTCAGTCGCAATGCATTCAGAAGTTCTTTTAGATATTAGAGGAGAATCTGCCGCATGTTCTTCCTCTTTGGTGTTTGATGTTGAGGCTACAACACGGCGACGGGCACCCATGCATGACCATGATGACAGAGAAGAGCGGTTCTTGACAACGGCCTGAGCAACATTTTGTGCTCGTTTCATCACAACCTATATTCAGCAAAGAGATTTCATTAGTAATACATTGTAACAACTGGGAGGATCAAAAGTTCAAGGTCAAGGATTAAAGGTAAAAGGTGCATGTGATTTCTTAAAATGAGAATAGGAATGGGAAATCCAATCAAACACATGGATTTACCTATATGAGCCTAACAGCAAAATAAATTATTTAAATCTATGTAAACAGTGTCAAACACTTGCAGAAACTGTCTAGTTTATATAGCATTTAATGACCATATATCCTAGTACGGAAAAAATTCAGAAATACACAAGACATATTATTTATAGGTTCTGTATCTACAATCCCTGAAACAAATATACAACCTGAGTACTGTTGGAGACAGGACGCAGAAGTGCACCAGCACCCGCAACCCTTGCTCTTGCACTAGCTATAGATGGTAGACGAGATCCCAGAGCAGTTGCAGACCGATAGAAAACATTAAGAAATCTTGTATGCTCAACTCGATCCCGGAGATCATTTAACCAAGATGATGTCGTGACCTGCAGGGAAACATAAACAAAACATTTTTTCTTAAGAAAAAACATGGATTGGAAGGAAGTCCATGATATTCAAACATTAAATATATAGGTTTTGGTTTTCAAATCAAGTTGGGGCGTTTAATGAAGCACAATCTAGGAATCTTCAACATTGAAATAAGCGAGTCACTCTCAACTTCCTTTGTAATAAATTTCGGCCATAAAATACTTGTTGTGTCATTATAATTTCTTCTTTATAAAGACCTTTTAGGTGTGATATAGGTTGACATGGATAACAGGCCTAAATACGTGTGCATTTTGTATCTGGAGGGTAAATCTACATTTGTCTATAATACTATCAAAGAGCCAGCGCAATGCTGCTCACCCACTTTCCATATACAACTTTGATTTGCAAGAAAGGGTGATAGTCCCTTTATATAAGCAAATTCCTGAATTTTAAATTCCTTGCTAGTTGATGAAGACAATGAAGCAAAAGTTATGTGCTTATAGAGATCAATACCCCTATCAGGCCTGAACAAGCTTAAGAAAATGTCTCCTCCATAGCATCTGAAAACTCCCATACCCCATTCGCCAGGATTACCCAAACTACGGATGTTAAAGTTAAGCTTCATTTCATTTTGTGGAGGGGGTATTCATGGTAACATATTTCTATCCTTTTTTTTTTGACAATGACACTGCCACTACTTTCCATCCTCTTAGAATATCTTCAACCATGAAACATGAGAAATCTTCAGTCTTCACCCATTGAAAAACTATGATTTTATCAGTAAGGTTAAATTTTAGTGTTCATTATTAAGATATTTCCAATTTCCAAATACCCAATTACTGGTTTGCTTAGGGGGGGGATCTCCGACCAACAGTATTATACCAGACTTGAACCATTCACGGGGAGATGTTCCCCATGTATGGCTGTAGTGTCTTGTGCACAGGATAATGGCCAGTGTTATGTGGTCAGCAGATCCAAACTCATAAGGTCCAGGTCTGCATACATACGGACCTAACTATTTTAATACCCCCTATGTCCAACCCAGACCCCATATCACATGCATTGCACTTGGCTTGCAACTAGTACATACAAAAACAACATTACAAGCAGCTATTTAGTAAGGAAAAGAATTGATGCACCTCAGAACGAAGATCATCAACAGAAGCAGCTGAGAATGTTGGCACCAGATCAGAACCATTTATGATAGTTGTAATGAAATGCTTGCCTGATTCTGCTAATTCCCAAGTCATACAGGCAGCTGCAGAATGACTTGTCATCAGTACTCTTATTGACACAAAAGGTCCCAAGTCTCAACCACTAAAACTTCACAACATCATATGCCATAAAACTTGCATAGATTTTTTCAGGAATGCCACATGAATTCATCCAAGCACAAGTAAATAGCATATATAATGATTACATGTGATGTAAATCATACAAAAATCAACTTTAGACTTACAAGATTCAATGGTTATAATATGGATGTATCCAGAATGAATGCTCAAAAGCATGTGACATTGAAAAAGGCAAACAGGTGCACTTTGCTCAAATAGAATTCTATTTGATCTAAGTTATGCCTTTCACTGTGGACCCATTTAATAATAAAAAATACACCATACTGTTATATTATGATCTTTTAAAAATATGTCACTTCTCATAACCTTTAAAAATCCCAACATATGAAGATTAACATACTAACATTCAGCCCATCCAGAAGCTTAAAGTCCAATGAACATGTTATATGAATCAAACCAAGAAAAATCAATATAATTTGCATCGCAAAATTGAAATTCAGACTTGAGGATGGAAAGAAGAAAGGAATATGGGGCCCTTGCTTCTAGGAAGTTAAAAATGATGAACGAGGACCTACTTATGAAATGGCTATGGCAGCTCAGTTCTGAATAGCAAAGTTGGTGGGGAAAGCCTTATAACTGAGAAGTATGGTTTGATCAATGAAGGCTCAGGCTCTAGTTTTGACATTCAGACTTGATGATGCTTGGTCTGGAAGAGCCCTGGAAAGGCTACTCAGGAGCTTCAGGGAGGGAATCAAGCTGAAAAGGGTTGTAGCTCCAAAGTGAAGTTTTGATTGGACCCTTGGTGTAATGAGAGACCCCTCAAGGAGCTAGGGTGTTCATTCAGTTTGTTCAGTTCGGTTCAGTTAAAATCCAGAACCTAACTAATATTTCGGTTTAACTAAATCCGTGAACCAAACTAAACCGAATTCAAATTGGTTTGCTTTAACTCTAAAATCGGTTTTGGGCCCATGAATCTTTGCTACAAACAGAAATTGTGAAGTGGCACAATAGCAACAGGCATCTAGACTCCATCGTCGACTTCAATGCTGAGAGAGCAATGCTGCCCATCTTCCTCAGCGACCTGTCACAAGACAAGCAAACAAGACCTGGTCGAAGTCATACTAGAGTTCAATGAAGATGATTCCATCATCGTCCACAACTGTCATACCAGAACCTACTCTCATACCAATCATTGACCGGAACTTTTCCATAACAACTAGGATCCACCAGAAGTTCCCATGGCTGGGATCCCCTCCACACAACCATACTCGGAGCTTGAAGAACTCACAACAATGACAATGTCAGCTTGGGATGCCAGAAAATTACTGTGAAACTCGAACTACAAATGGCATACATTTGTAGCAATTGCTCCAGCTAATTGAGATTGGGAAGAAATAAACATGCAAATAAAAGGAAATTTTAAATCAAGAAGGGAGATAGAATTTTCAAGAGATGGAGAATTCTCTATGAAGTCAGTGTCAAACTTTATACACAAAAGAAGCACATCTAATGACCAAAAGTATATCTATGCATTAAAATATATCTATGCAATATCAATATTAATTGTATAATATCTATGCACATCTCTATGAAGTCAGTCTTGGACTCTTGACTGATGTATTATCAATAAAATTGTATGATATCTATACATCCCGCTAAATTAATAGTAGACGATCAAAACTACAATCAGCCTTGAACCCTAATAGATTTCAGATTAGGAAAAGTAGAAGAAAAGTAGAAGAAAAGAAAGAGAAAGGAAGAAAAGAGAGAAGAACTGGAGAAAACAAAGGTTGAAAGAAGGGACAGATTCAAAATGATCTACCGCCGCTACTCTCTTAGTATTTATAGGTTATGTTCAGTACATAGGGAAAATGACAGATCTGCCCTTAGTACTTACATGACAAATAAAGCAAATAAAAAACTGAAATAAATAACAAACTGACCACCAACTGACACTACCATGACTGAATCAAATAATTACACATGCTATCCTACGAACACAGTGGGAAACACAGCTGTGGGGCCCACATCAATGTTCTCTACACTCCCCCTCAAGTTGGGAATAGATATTTATCATTCCCAACTTGGATAGGTCTGCCTCTAACTTCTTCCTTGGTACTGCCTTGGTGAGGATATCTGCGAGCTGCATATTGGATGTGATATACGAGAGACACACTTCTTGTGATGAGACCCTCTCTCGCACAAAATGTCGATCAACTTCAATGTGTTTAGTTCTATCATGTTGCACCGGATTGTAAGCTATATTAATAGCCGCCTAATTATCACAATACAGCATCAAGGGCTTCTCATAATCAATACCCAACTCTTCAAGTTGTGATCTTAGCCATAGGATTTCAGCCACTCCGTTAGCCATTGACCTGTACTCGGCTTTAGCACTAGAGCGGGAAACAACACTCTGCTTCTTACTCCTCCAAGAAACAAGGTTACCTCCCACAATGGCACAATATCTAGAGGTAAACCTCCTGTCATCAACACTCCCAGCCCAGTCGGCATTTGTATAGACCTCCACCTTCATGTGATTATTGTTCTTGAACAGTATACCTCTACCCGGGCATCTCTTCAAGTATGCTAATATTCTCTCTGCCGCAAGAAGATGAGTAGTTCTAGGGGAATGCACGTACTATTTGACAACACTAACTGCATAACTGATATTTGGCCGAGTGAGGCAGAGATATAGGAGCTTTCCAACCAACCATTGGAACATAACTTTGTCTTCAAGAGGCTCCCCGCCCTCTACACTAATTTTGTGATTCTGTTCAATGGGTGTATCAGCAAGCTTAACACCTAACTTTCCAGTTTCCGCCAACAGATCTAGAACATATTTTTTCTGAGAGATAAAGATCCCTTGTTTAGATCTAGCAACCTCAATACCCAAAAAGTACTGTAGTGTACCAAGATCTTTCACCTCAACTCTTGATGAAGGAGCTGTTTGAGGGACYCAATCTCACTACTATTATTTCYTGTCACTACAATATCATCCACATACACAGCAAGCAGGGTCAGAGAGGAGTCCACCCTCTTAATGAACAGTGTATGATCTGACTGGGCCT